CAGTATCTACACTTTTGTGAGTAGTGGCTGGGATCGTAAAAGCTCACGAGCAACCATTTAAGGTGCAACTACTAATCTCTGTGTCCAGAGGAAAGAAGAGTGATGACGTCTGAGAGACACATGGAAACAATGAGTTCAATGGACTAATAGACCACCTGAACACCAGTCTCCACACCCTGAGACCAGAGGAACTAGATGGTGCCCGGCTACTCTACCCACTGCTCTGAAAAGGATGACATTAGAGATCCTGAATAAAGTGGGAGAACACTGAAAGAAAATTCAAAATCATAAAAGAGAGGGAGGAGGGGAAGGAAGGGGGAACCAATCCCAATGATTGACGTACACCCACCACCCAAACATCAAAAACATGGGTGAAGGGAGACAGTGGGTGGTGTAAAATATGAAAATAAAAATAATTTATAAATTATCAAGGGTTTATGAGGGTAAGAGAGTCGGGGAGGGAGGGGGGAAAAAGAGGAGCTGATACTAAGGGCTCAAGTAGAAAGAAAATGTTCTGGAAATGATGGCAACATATGTACGAATGTGCCTGATACAATTGATGTATGGATTGTGATAAGAGCTGTAAGAGCCCCCAATAAAATGATTTATTAAAATTTAAGATCATGAAAGGGACCAGGCTTACTGATCCCACAGAGATTAGTGAACCCATCCCCAAAGACTATGGACCTTAGTCTAACTTCAGGTCTGGAACTGAATGTATCCCTGAGTTAGAATAATCAGCCACTTAAGATCAAAAGGTACCATTTATCCAAGAACAAAGATCAGAAGGCAAGGAAAGGTGAAGAAGTGGAAACAGGGAACACAGGAAGGAAATCGAATTTGTGATGGTACCTTGAGGGAATTACAGTGGATGAGTTGAAAGAAGGTGTGTATGAATTGTTGAACATATAACTGATTATCTGCTCTGTAAACCTTCACCAATTCCCTTAAAAAAAAAAAAAAGGTGAGCAACAGGGAAATAAAATAAAGCAAGATGGACATGTTGTTGTTGTTGTTAGGTGCCATCGAGTTTGGTTCTGACCCATAGAGACTTTATGTGCACCAGAACGAAACACTGCTGGGTTTTGCATCATCTTCACAATTGTTCCCATGGTTGAAGCCGTTGTTGCAGCCGTGGTTGCACCTCTTACTCAAGGCCCTTCCTCTTTGTCGCAGCCCCTCCACTTTGCCAAGCCTGATGTCCTTCTCCAGGGACTGGTCTCTGCTTACAACACATCCAAAATATGTAAGACGAGTGTGTTAGTCTGGGTAGACTACAGAAACAAATTCATAGACACTCATATGTATATAAGAAAGAGGTTTATATACAAGAGCAATTGAATATTGAGAAAACATTCCAGCCCAGTCCAGTTCAGGTTCATAAGTCCGATACCAATCACGAAATACAAGCAATGATGTGGAATGCAGGAAGATCACAGGCCAGTGGGTTGGAGGTCTTTTGGATCTAGTGGCATTGTAAGCATCTCAGCATTGGCAGGGGTCTCTACATGGTTCCTCCAGTTCCCAGGGCATGGGGTCTATCAGCATAGTGCTGTGTGTCTTGTCAATAGAGTGTGTCCAAGGAAGTGAGCAGAGAGTCTCTCCCACTTTCAAGGAGGAAAAAACAGATTTCCCAGAATTCTCAGGAGAAAGCCATGCCCACACAGAGGCCTCATGGTCTATGATCCGATTGACAGACTAGACTCCACTCCTTCCCTCTTAATCCTCTCAAGTCCCAAATTGACACCAGATTATGTAACTACCACAACTAGTCTTGCCACCTTTCCCTCTAAGGAGCACTCTGTGCTTCTTCCAAGACTGATTAGTTTTCCTTTAGGCAGTTCGTAATACTTCAATATTCTTCACCAACACAACTTCTTTGGTCTTCCTTATTTAATGTCCAACTTTCACATGTGCATATGAGATAAAAGATGGAAATAATATGTAGTGAAACAGAAAACAATGTTTTCAAACATGGAAAATTGGAATTGATTTGTAAATGTAAGGGCAGATTATAGGAACGATACCTCTTTAGTATAATAGTGTTACTGAGGTATAATTCAAATATCATATAATTCACCCTATAATTCTATGATCTTCAGTATATTCAGAGCTATGCAATAATTACCATTACCTATTCAAAATACTTCCATCATTCCAAAAAGAAACCCCAAAATTCATTTTCAGTCACTCCTTATTTCCTCTCATTCTCTAGCCCTAGGCAACTCCTAATCTACAGTCTAACAATTTGTCTATTTGGGGACATTTCATATAAATAGAAAAATACAATATGTGCTCTTTGGTGATTGCGTTATTTTACATATTACAATCTTTCAAGGCTCATCTCTGCTATAGCATGTATCAACACTTTATTTCTTTTTATTACTTAAAATATTCCATAGTCCATCTGTTCTTCAGTTGATGTCTGCATTGCTTCTGTCCTTTTTCTGTTATAATAATGCTGTTATGAACATTTGCATACACATTTTTGAGCTGACAAATACTTTAACCTATCTTGGGATAAATCTACCTAGGAATTGGGCCATATAGTAAATTTATGTTTAGTCTTTTGAGGAATCCCAGACTATTTTCCACAGTGACTGAAAGATTTTATATTCCGGCCAACCTTGTATGGATGTTCCAATTTCTGCACATTCTCACCAACACTGGTTGTTATTTGCCGTTTTGATTATAAGTTGTCTGAATGGGTATGAGCTGGAGAAAGAAGAGGCTTTCTTCTCCCATAAAGAGTTCCAGTCTCAGAAACCCACAGGGCAGTTCTGCCCTGTCCTGTAGGGTCTCTGTGAGTTGGAATTGACTCGATGGCAGTGAGGTTTTTTAGTTTAATATATATGAAGTGATTTTAATTGTAATTTCTCTAGTGAATAATGATGTTGAGGATTGGTTTCATGTGCTTTTTGGCTGTTTATGTATCTTCTTTGAAGCAACATGTATTCAGTTCTTTTGTACATTTAAAAAGCTAGGTTATCCCCTTGGGTTATTGTTGAGTTGTAAGAACTTTTTTATATTCTGGATACACATCCCTAATCAGATACCTGATTTGCAAATGCTTTCTCCCATTCGTTGGTTATCCTTTCACTTTATTGATGCTTTTTAACTATTTTAAAATTGATGATGCATATTTTATCTATTTTTTCTTTTACTACTTGTGCTTTTACTGTCATATCTAGGAACCATTGTCTAAAAAAGTTATGAGGATTTACATTCATATTTTCTTCTAAGAGTTTTATAGGTTTAATACTTATATTTAGGTTATTGATTCCTTTCAGTTAATTTTTGTATGTGGTATGAGGTTGGGGCTCAATTTAATTCTTTTGCCTGTGGATATCCAATTATCTCACCACCATTTGTTGAAGAAACTATGTTTTCTTATTGAATGGTCTCACCATCTTTGGCAAATATCAATTGACTGTTGGCGTATGGGTTTATTTATACAGCCTCAATTCTATTCTTGTCTATATGTCTACACTTATGATGGTACTGTATTGATTATTGTAGCTTTTAATAGTAAGCTTTTAATATGGAAAGTGTGAGTGTTTCCAACTTTGTTCTGGTTTTTTTTTTTAAGTTTATTTTATTTATTTATTTTTTAATCGTTTTATTAGGGGCTCATACAACTCTTATCACCATCCATACATACATCCATCAATTGTGCAAAGCACATTTGTACATTCATTGCCCTCATCATTCTCAAAACATTGGCTCTCCACTTAAGCCTCTGACATTAGGTCCTCATTTTTTCCCCTTCCTCCCCGCTCCCCCCTTCCTCATGAGCCCTCGATAATTTTTAAATTATTATTTTGTCATATCTTGCCCTGTCCGACGTCTCCCTTCACCCACTTTTCTGTTGTCCATTCTGGTTTTTAAAAGATTATATTGAATATTATCAGTGCCTTAAATTTCCATATGAATTTTAAGAGTAACTTGTCAGTTTCTACAAAGGAACTAGTTGAGGTTTTGATCAGATTTACATCAAACCTATAAATTTACTAGGGACACTCATTCAGTGAAATAAAATACAGACATCAACAGTAGTGGTTACAGAGAATATTTAATGAAATGGAAAAGAACTCAAAGTATAATATTAAATTAATGATAAGGCAATTGGACTTATAGATGTCATATTACTCCTGTTTTGAAAAAATATACATAGCCATATACATAAAAGAAAAAATGAACAAACTGTCAAAATGTAGTTCTTTCTAGGTGATGAGATTATGAGCGAATCATTTAACACTTCTTTGCATCTTCTTGACGTTTTCAAATTTTCACAAAGAACACACATGACATTTATAAGGAGACAAAAAAAAGGGAAGATTTTCTTTTCATTGCTGGTAATTCTCTAAGTTGCTAGGTAACGTCCCATATCCCATAAGCTATAACTTCTGTAAGAAACCATTTATGTTTCGCAAGTAGAGAAAACGGAGGTCCTTTTTATTTGTTAGCAATGCTTTTTTCTCAGACGTGTACGTTTACCGCAGAAGCGAGGCGCCCACGGGGAAGCTTTGGCTGTCTGAGGAGATCATCGTGTGAAATGGAAGTGGTGCCAGGAAGCCAGGCACTCGGTTCAGACGAGCTCAGCACCAGCTGACTGGCTTGTGGCTCCGACTGTCTGATTCTCTGGAGCCGCTGGTTGTAGACTTGCCAGCAATCCTTGACTGGGGAGATCGCCAAAGGGCAACACTGCGAAGGGCAGCCTACCAGACCGCCCTTCCTGGCTTTGCTTTGGGTCTTCCACTTTAAACGTTAAGGGAACATACAAAATCAAGAAAACGCCATCATTCTAATTACGGCAACCCTTTCTTGACTCATTTCTCTTCATTCATAGGACTCGTGAAGCTATTTTCTTTGCTTCCATTTGAAAACAAAAAGCATCGATCTCTTGTGCTTGTGTGAGGAGCCTGGTGGCACTGTGGGTTGGGCGCGGAGCTGTTAACCTCAAGGTCAAGGTTCAAGGCCACCATCACAGTGAGAGAAAGATGAGGCTGCCTACTCCCATCGTGAGTTGGAATGGACGCGGTGGCAGTTTGGTTTTGGTTTATTACACATGCTTAGAATACTATAATGACCGAGTCGTAGAACTGCAGGGTGCCTTAGGAACTTCCCTTCATGTTACAGATAACTGTGCACAAGTTCTGAAAACGAAAATAAATCTGTTCAGCTTTTCCTCCCCAATTGTCTATGGTAGTTACTAATCAGCTAATAATCACTCAGATTAATTATTTATAAATATTTCAAACTGTGAAATATTTACATTTTTCTCTCCTAAAGGTGATATCTATTTTTTATATTTTAGTGAAATGAAGATAGCTAGCAATTTATAATCCGACTCACTAATCCAAAATATCTTTCCTAAGAAGTACATTTTAGGAAATGACTCAGAATTACCTCACAGAATTATGTATATAAAAATTGACTATAAAATGATGGGGAAAAATGATGTGGGATAGAATAAAAAAAGAAAATATGTATGGAGCATTTGTTGTGTGCCTGACTTTGTGTTTGCTAAGCTTTGTGCACATATTATCTGATTTCATTCTCAAAGTCACCATAGGAATTAGGTGCTACTTCTATTTATTTTCTAATGGTGGGGAGAAATTGGAAGTCAGAAAACTTACTTAACTTTTCCAAGTTTGGGCTTGCAATTGGTGGTAGCAATATTCAAACTCAGGGCTGGTTAGCAATGAGGTTGGGACTCTTATCAGATATGCTATGCCACTCTGAAAACTGGTGTGGAATGGTATGTAGCTTTAAAAATAATTATGTTTCAGAAGAACCTTTTATGACATAGGAAACTATTTACAACATATTAAAAGGGGGAGGGGAGCACCTAGCCAAGCCAACACACCTGAATGATCCTAAGTCTGGTTTTTAAATGTTTCTATAAGCATCAAAAAAGATAGGAAGGAAACACACCAAACTGTTAAAAAAATGATTTTTTCTGGGGGATGGTGAACCAGTGATTGTAACTTTCTCTACACTTTTCTTATTCCTTTAAAGTTTAAAAATTATTAGTAAGGATTTATCACTAGAAAAACATGATTAAATGGTGGCTTGAGAATTTTAAAGCATTATCCAATAGGAAGGGCCCTTTATTGATAGTTCCTGGTGGCGTAGTGGTTTTGAGTTGGGCTGCTAACCTCAAGGTCAACTGTTTGAAACCACCAGCTGGTCCACGGGAGAGAGATGATACTTTCTACTCCTGTAAAAAGCATGCCCATCTTGGAAACTCACAGGGGCAGTTCTAGCCTGTCCTATAGGGTCGCTATGGATCTGGATCCATTCTATGGCAGTGAGGGGTTTTTTGCTTTTTGGTCTCCCCATATCAGGGCGTGCCATTGGTGATGCTGAGAACAAAGCTCTGAATGGCAGTGACTTCTCACTCTTCTCTCGAGTTCACTGGTGTCCAGCACAGCGCTTCCTTCCTTGCTTCTGATGACGGATGACAGACTTGTATCTCTTAAAGCAGTCGGACTTGGAAGAAACTGCGGAAATCCCACAGCTAAATAAAATTGAAAAACAACCAACAAACTCACTGCCATCGAATTGACGCCAACTCATAAGTGACCCTGCAGCACACAGTACAAGTGCTTCTCTGAGTTTCCAGGTCTCACTCTTTATGGTGGCAGGAAGCTCTGTTTCTCCAGCAGAGCAGCTGGTGGTTTCAAACGGTGGACCTTGTGGAATCACAGCCCAATGCATAGCCAAGACACCACCAGAGCTCCTTGAGAGTTGGTTATTAGATGTCTTCTCTCTGTTTTTAGACAGATACTTTCAATTATTACCTCTATTCTAAGTCTGACCTTGAGCCATGAACTTCAAAACCCATTGCCACAGTCCATTGTGAATCATAGTGACAGGGTAGAACTACCCACACTAGACTTCCAAGGCTCTAAGTCTTTCCTGAAACGGATGACCACAGCTTGGTCCACAGGGTGGTTGGTGGATTCAAACAACTGGCTAAGACTTCCCTACTGTACCAGCAGGACTCTTCCATGCAGTCACTGCCAAGGACCCCAGGACAGACCGGAACTGCCCCTGAGGCTTTCTGAGACTCTGACTCTTTACGGGCATAGAAAGTTTCCATTAAGAAAGGGGAAAAATAATAATAAACATTTTTTTAAAAGAAAGGAATTTCAACCTGAAGCCAAGGGAAGGGCGTTTGAATCCTGAGTTATAAGACCGGCTTTCTCTCACGTCTTTGGGGATTACCAGACAGTAGTTGACCTACCTGTGCAGGTGGCAGTAGAAAGGAAGCGCTAAAAAGAAAGGCTCAGAGGTCAAGTTAAAGAATTGATTTGCAGACTAGAATGAAATTAGCCCATTCAAAAACTAGGAATACGTTGTGCAATGGTTTAAATGTGTGCCACATGACTTAACAATTTGAGGCTGTATGTTTACAATGCCTCTCTGCTACATTCAGTTCCTTTCCTGAGATTCCTCCCCTGGAGGTCAAGAATGATTCCTTGTGGACTTACACAGAGTCTTTGGGTGCACAGATCCGATGAGGGCAGGATCTCCGGGAAAGAGAAAAAGAGCAGGCCATGAATTAAGTCTTGCGTTTCAGATAAAGCATTAGTCTTCTTTTATCTATCTATCTATCTATCTATCTATCTATCTATCTATCTATCATCTATCTATCTATCTATCATCTATCTATATTTATCCTTTTCTTCCCACTAAATGGTTAGAGCAGAAGCTAAGTAAGGAAAACAGTATCAGGAAACTGGTAGATGTGAAATTCTTTTCACCTCCCAAGGATTCCACCATCCAGAGCCTGCTTTGGGGGACATGCCATCTGCACAGGGCTGGGGGATCAGCGAACAAGGAGCGAACAAGTTTAATCTTGGGATGCAGTGAACTCTTTGGTAGCCACGCCTCAAACTATCTCCCCAAAGGCTGGGGTTGTGAGAGTGAAAGCAAGCAAGCTCTATCCGGCCCTAGGGGACTTGATGGGGTGGGGGTGGGGGTCGGGGGGACAGGGTCCTGCAATGAATGCGGAGCCAAATTGCCTGGCAGCTTGAATGGGGAGTTCTCATGAAGGGACTGATAGCAGAACATGAGGTAAATACCTTATCACTGGCCCAAGATAGAAAATAGTTAACGATTGGCTAAAATATAAGGAAGCTAGAAGGTGAATTGGATGATGAGGGACTTATTTGGTAATGCTGAGAAAGTACCAAGATTCTGCGCATACTGATGTCTTCGTGTATAAGCCTTATAAAATGCTTTGTCACGTGCCTCCCATCCAAGCTCATAAGGAGTGCTATATTCCATAGAGGTGCTGGGATCCAAGCTTCTATCTAGGGAGTGGAGCAGGTTGTGTCCCTCCCCTCCCCAACACCCCTCACCCCCGCGTCCCTGCCCCCCCAGCCCCCCCCACAAAGATTCTTGCTTAATTTCCCTTGACTTCAAAGTACCCTTGAGAGAGAACAATGAGGCTGTCTACTCCATCAAAGAATAGTCTCAGAAACTCATGGGGTAGTTTTACCCCATCCCACAGGGTCACTATGAGTTGAGTTGGCATCAAAACGATGGCAGTGAGCTTGGCTTTTGGTTTTCCAAGGACCTTCCGTGGAACTGTTCTGCTGTTCGACTTCTCATGATCCCCTAACAGAAGGTTGTGTATGTATGATTTAGACTTTGGAAAGTAACAGGATGGCTGCTAAGCACAAGAGAAAATGGGTCAGATCAACTATGGAAGAAAGGGAGGTTAGCTGTTGATTTTAATCCCAGTGTTGAGAGGAGAAGAGTTTAGGTCTCTCGTGGTCACATTGACAGATCATGTGCTGCTTCGAAGGAAAGTCCCTGGGTGGTGTAGCTCCTAGCGTGACTCATAGTTAACATGCTAAGCTGCTGACTGCAAGAATGGAAGTTTGAGACCATTTAGAGGCATCTCAGGAAAAAGGTCTGGTGATCTGCTTTCAAAAAAATCAACCATGGCAAACTCTGGCACACACGGAGTGGCAATCAGTCGGGGTCAACATGCTAGCAACTGGTTTCTGGTGCTTTAAGGATGAAAGGAGAGCTGGGCGATTGCTAACGCCTTTTAAAAGAAATGACCTCATCCAAATACTTACCGCTTAAATTATTATCTGTAAGCCATTAAATTGCAGTACATGTTCTAAACCATTGAGATCAAGCTTGTCCTCCCTCTGGAAGGTCTCACCATCAATTGATGGAGCTCCAGACTTTTCAGTGTTACCCATTTATAGCTCGTCCTTACAGTTCCCTGGGAAAGTGTGACTGGGCTGAGTTCTGTTCTCAAAACTCTATGAAAGGAAGGGGAAAAAATAGACAATACAGGTCAATAAAACGGTTGGATTAAGAACAAAATGACCTCATTGTCATCAGTAAACACCACAGAGATGGAATCTCCTCCCTGACCTGATAGATGTTATGCAGTAAGTAGATCACAGCGAGACAAAGTCCCAGCGTCAATCCCCGGGGAAAGTCCAGTTCAGACAGGAGGCTGACCTATATCTTGGGCTATGAGTACTGAGAAAATGCTGAGGGTCAGGGGTAGGTTTGGAGGACTTGGGACCCGGATGCTTCTTACCCGGGCCAGATATTGATCTTTGAAAGAAAAATGACATGCTATGACGTAGTCATTAACTGACATTTGAAATAGGTTTCTTTTTAACCATTCGTGGAGTAGAGATTGAGACCTTGAGTTTATTGCAGATCAATGGTCAACATAAAAACCAATTAAAGGTTAAAGGGAAGAAAGGAGTTATGTATTAACTTTATTTCAAAAACTAATACAAGCACTTCACTGACTGAATAGTTAAGTGAAGAATATGAAGCAATAAAATGTGCATAAAAGTTTAAAGTGACAATTTAAAGCCACTTTGGAAAATAATTTGGAATTTGTCATAAAGTTATCATATGACTTAGGAAACTAATTTTTAGGGCTATTCCCCAAAGATATGAAAACATGAGTCCATGCAAATGTTCACACAAATACCATAGAAACATTATTCATAATGGCCAAGGAGTGGCAACAACTCAAATGTCTATTAACTAATGAATGGGCGAGCAAAAGTGTACTAGCCATACCGTGGAATGATGAGCAAAAGTAAGGAAGTTCTAGTAGATAGAACATGGAAGAGCCTTGAAAACATGCTGAGTTAAAGAAGCTAGTCACAAAAGGCACATGGCCCATGTTCCCTTTGCATCAAAAGTTCATAGAACCACAAAGTAAATAGTGGTTTCTAGGTACTGAGGAGAAGGGAGCCTAACTCAGAACAAATGCAAGGGAATAGAAATATACGATTTCATCAAAAATATAACAACATCTATGAAATGAATAAGTAAATAATACAAGCATAGTTCCATATGCCTATGGATGGAATGAAGGTGCTTAGAATATGCTGTGGTGCAGCTGAATGTTAAAAAAAAAGAGTAAGAAATGTAAATTTGTGATTTTCACCACCCACCTTAGAGAGAACCCTTGATTACAAGTACCATTTTAACAATCGGTTTGCTGAACTCAACTAAAAACTAGATGTTGATTCTGCCAAACCAGAGCAAACCAACTGAATCCCGCCACTGGTGGTATCCTTTCACCAAACCTACTCAATATGTGTGCTGAGAAAATCACACGAGAATTTGGACTATATGCAAGAACAATGCATCAAGATTGGAGAAAGGCTTATCAACCTTCAGTGTGCACCTGGCATAATCTTGCTTGCTGAAAGCAAGGAGGACTTGAAGCCCTTGATGAAGATCAAGGCCGGAAGCCTTCCATGTGGATGACAACTCAATGAAAGAAAACCAAAATCCTCACAACTGGACCGATAGGTAACATCCTGAAGAACAGAGAAGAGTGACGTTTTCAGGGATTTCATCTTGCTTGGATCCACAATCAATGCTCATGAAAGCAGCAGTCAAGAGATCAATCGGCACAGTGCACTGGGGAAATCAGTTGCACAAGACCTCTTTAAAATGTTGAAGAGCCAGGAGGTTACATTGAGGGCTAAGATGTGCTTGACCCAAGCCATGGTCTTTTCAATGGTCTCATAAAAGTGTCAACGTTAGACATTGAATGAGGAAGAATGAGGAAGAATCGATGTATCTGAATAGTGTGCCGGTGGATACTATTGAAAGTATCATGGACTACCAAAAGAATAAACAGATCTGTCTTGGAGAAAGTACAGCCAGAATGCTTCTTGGAAGGGAGCATGACTTTGGACATGTAATCAGAAGAGACCAGTCTCTGACAAAGGACATCCTGCTTGGTAGGGGGTCCATGAAAAAGTAGACCCCGACAGGAAGGATTGACCCAGTGGTTGCAACAATGGGCTCAAATAGAAGAACAATTGCGCGGATGGTGCAGGGTCAGGCAGTGTTTCATTCTGTTGTCTATAGGGTTACTATGAATCAGAGCCAACATGACAACCCCCAACAGTCCTTGCCTGTCTACCTGTTCCCCCATCTTTCTCCCACTTCATCCCTCATCATTTCTACCCTGAGCAGCTGCAATCGCTTTGCAACACATTTTCTTGCCTTGCCTTAAGGACAAGGAATTTGGTTTTGGTTTAACCCACCTCTCTAAAATCAATCCTTCTCGCTGCTATCAAAGTGATATTGCTAAAGTTCTAGTCACTCATGTCCCTGCCGCTTAGTCCCTGTGTTGAGACCCTCCGGAGGCATACAGAAGAGTCCTCAAGGCATGAAGGATGGGATTCCCTTGAAGGGCATCCGACTTTAACTTACACCACAGCATCCACCCAGGAACTGGGGAAATGGCCGGGGTCAGCTGACATTCTTTGATAGCAGCATTTTGGTCCGTCTATAAGACAAAAAAAGGAGTATGATTTTTTTTTAAAAAGGAAGAAAACCCACACTGTCAGCTCACAGATGTGATACCATAAACAGATCACAGAAATGTAGTCCAAAGTCCCTGTGTACAGTCCTATTATCAGTCCCTGGGGCAAGTCCAATTCAGACAGAATGCTGTTATAATACCTTTCATGAGGAACGACTTCTCCAGTGAAACCCGCAGCTCTTCCCCTCCCACCGGTCCGTCTGCTTGGTTTGGGCCATCGGCATCATTCTGCTCTTCTGTCGATTCTGACTCATGGTGACCCTATAGGACAGAGTAGGACTGCCTTGTGGGCTTAAGAGATGGTCGATCTTGGCAGGAATTGGAAGCCTCTTCTTCTTCCTCGGAGAGGCTGGCGGTTTCCCATGGCTGGTCTTGCATTAGCAGCTCACCACCCAACCCACTGTGTCAGCGTCACTGGCCACCCCTCCGCCACCACGGCTCCATACCCGAGGTCCTAGGGTGGACAAAGCGAGTCTCATCCCCTGACAGAAGCAGCACCGCTTCTCACTAGGGGAGTACACTGTTTCAAACTACACTTTTTTCTAAAAAAGATCAACTCCTTTATCTAGTACTGAACCTTAGAAACAGAGATCAGTTGTGCATACTGTGAGAAGATGGCTGGCCTCGGGCAATTTTAACTGTCTGTGAGGTTTGCCTTACCCACTTCATTGTAGATTTAATCACCAGAGAAGGTGAGCTGTCTCGCATGGGTTTCGCATGTACATCTGAGAGTATTATTTAAATTGAATCTCTTTCCTGCTTCCCTGAGTTATTGTGTGGCAATGGGAAGGATGCCGAATGAGTGGATTTGTGAGGTGTGACAGCCTTAGTGTTGCAACATAGTTTACTGTTTGTACTGTGCTTTTTAGATTTTAACCGTTCCGCACAATTCTGCTCGATTCTTAAGTGAGTATATTTAATCACAGATTTATAGGCATTAGGTGTTTGGGGCCATCTACTTCAACCATCCGGCTAATTCATAAACCCCAAAGGATGAACTGGGTGGGAATGAATGCCCTAGTAGCCTGGGACACTTCCCATTCAAAGGAAGCCTTTCATCTTCAGATAACTCTGACTGTTAAAACCATGTCCTCTGTACACGAAGCCTAAATCCGACTTCCTGCAATTTATACCCTTTGATATCATATCTGCTCCCCAGGGCCACACAGAACTCCTCTAATCCCTCTTCCTCTTGGCAGCATTTCAAGCCTTTGAAGAAGCTAATTATGTCCCCAGAAGTCTCCTTTTCATCTTCTGGTTTATTCTCACCCACTGTTCCTGATGGTGATGATAACATTAGTAATAATGGCCAATATTGATTGATTTATTGGGTGTGTAATATGAGTCAAGTATGGTTCTAAGCAGTATATATACATATACTTACATATATATGTATGAGCATATGTATGTGTGTGTGTGTGTGTGTGTACTTTCATAATTCTCCTAATAACCCTGTAAGGGAGGCATTTTATCCCATGTTTACATATGAGGGGACTGAGATGCAGGGAGGTTAAATAATGGGCCAATGATTTAACAGCTCATAATTAGCAGAGCCTAACTTAAAAGTTTTCAATCCAGTTAGTTTCGTCCTTGAGCCTTCCCTCTTGTCAACCTCACCTGGCCTGGAGAAGTGGTCCAGGTTGTCCAGGGTCCTGTCCGAAAGAAGTCCAGAAGCATAGACCTGTAGATGCGCCTGTCCATGGCCTGCAGTCTCTGGAATAAACTTGTGTTGACGCCACTCATGCTTGCATTAGCTGAATGCTGCACCTCCTGCCAAGCACTGGCGCAAAGGAAAGCTCATCAACGTTCTTCACCGGTGTGCAATTGCCGGTGCCGTCGCATGCTGCCTGTGTGAAGTAACTCAGATCAAGAAATGAGAACAATCCCCATGGTTTTCTCCAAATTTCAGCAGCTATAGTTAGGGACCACATATCTGAGAGAGGACTCTTACTGTGTGTTAGAATCAATAGCTTCTGTATGAGAACTGAATCTAAACCCAATACCGTTGACTTGATCTTGACTCTTAATGGCCTTTTAGGACAGAATAAAACTGCCCAATCGGGTTTCCAAGGCTGTACAGAAGCACGCTACCTCATCTTTCTCCCATGGAGCAGCTAGTGGATTTGAACTATCAACCTTTCATCTGGGCCAACACAACACAATGTACCACAAGTGCTCCTGATGAAATCCAGGGTCCACTATTAGAACTAAGAGTGAACAGCTTTCTGTAGCAGCTTTCTGTTGTTAAACTCAGATGGTTTCAATAATATTTGGTTCTAGAACAAGAGTTTTTTATTTGTGAAATCATTCATTATCTAAATCTCTACTGTGCTCTTTAAGGGTTTGATGAAAATTTAGTATCCTTGAAAAAATTAACCAGTGATTACGTTTGGTAGAGAGAAACTGATTCGTAGGTGACAAACACTGGTATTTTAAGTGATTCCAAGATGTGTGTGTATGCATGTTTGTTAGAAGATATATAGTATTTTTAAGAATTAATATTTTATAATTTGCTTATGTTGGAGTCTCTAGAGGAGTAAAACATACATATGTAAGGTCAAAAAGTATTGCTACTAGGTTTTCAATTCATACATAAACAGCTTTATTCCAAACATGTCTTTAAACATGTCTCCGTGATCAATGGATGGATACAGACACGTTTGTTTTTTTTAGCAAGACACTTGTTTTAGTCTTGTTCCCCCAAACCACCAAACTCATTGCCTTCCAGCCAATTCCAAGTCATGGCAATTGTCTTCAGCTGAGTTCTTCGGATTGGGAGAGAGGGATCTAGCTTATGTAACGGTGCTTCAAAAAAATTGATGGAAAAATTCCATTATCTTTTGATTGTATTTTCCCATAAACTTATTTTCACTCCATTGGACTGCAATACACATGGTTGGCAGTTCAAAACCACCAGCAACTCCTCGGGAGAAAGATTAGGCTTGCTACTCTGGTAAACAATTACAGTCTCAGAAATCCATAGGGGCTCGCTATGAGGCAGCATTAATTTACTGGGGCAGTGAGTTATATAGCGATTTATCTCAAGGAAATGGTTCACATGGTTGTTGAGGCTGGCAAATGCCAACCCAGTCTAGAGGCTTCTCTTGACTTGGGTTTAGAACCCAACATTAGCAGATCAGCAGACTCACAGGTTCCTAATAACTCTAAAGATCAGTAGGCAATCTGGCAGACCATTAGCTCAAGTCCAAAGAACCAGAGGTCAAATAATAAGCCAGATGTCGGAACCAGATCCAGCATAAAGCAAAAGAGCTTTGCCAGAGCATCCGCATATATTGGAAGCAGGCCACACCCCTAAGAAAACTCTCTTTCAATTGATTGGCTGCTTGTAGCAGATATGATCATGGAAGTGATTATATTAGTTTCACATGGGAGATGACTGTATCATAACTGCCTAACCACTGAGAATATGCCCCAGCCAAGTTGACACTCGACCTTAACCATCACATTGATTCTAGGGGGCAGAACAGAACTGCTCTCGAGGGTTTCCGAGGAAGTGGCTGATAGGTTTGAATTGTTGAGCTTTTGGTTAGCAGCCCAAATACTTAACCCACTGGAACATTAGGACTGCTTCCAGTCTCTATAGGATGCCTCCGGAAACATTTTTAAAAAAGGATCCAATTTTAAAATCGGCTTTTCCTGTAGGGATTTTCTGGGTAATTTCAAGACAGAGCGGCCAGCTCAGAAGGTTATGGGATTATTTTGATAGGTTTTTTGGAAGGACACAGGACAATCATGGAGATTTATTATGAAGCTTTATAGAAATGTCCTTGGTGAAAAAAAGGCCAAGAAAGTTGTGCTGATGATTTCTTTTCTTTCCGCAGTCAGGACAGTATTTCTAACAATTCTTCCTCAGTAGCAAGGGACGTGAAAATCGTGTGGGGAGCCTTCCTCCATCCTGACGCTGCCCCTTACTCTCGAACCCTGATCTTGCAATTTCAGACTTCTTTCTGTTCCCCAAACTCAAAGTTGGCAGAATTGCCATTTTGACATGGTACGAAATGAAGAGCACAGCGTTCCTCAGGGAAGGGCTGGAGGGATGCCTTCAGGGTTATACAGACCTAGATGGAGGATGTGTCAAGAAACAAGAGTTTCACATTTGATAACTTTGTGTAGATCCCTCTCTCCCAATCCGAAGAACTCAGCTGAAGACAATTGCCATGACTTGGAACTGGCTGGAAGGCAATGAGTTTGGTGGTTTGGGGGAACAAAACTAAAACAAGTGTCTTGCTAAAAAAAACAAACGTGTCTGTATCCATCCATTGATCACGGAGACATGTTTAAAGACATGTTTGGAATAAAGCTGTTTATGTATGAATTGACAACCTAGTAGCAATACTTTTTGACCTTACATATGTACGTTTTACTCCTCTAGAGACTCCAACATAAGCAAAAGGTTTCTATGATTTTGTAGCAAGCCAAGAACTCATATCTTTCTATTTGTAAAGTAGATTTCATTTTTAGTCCCTGTGTCAGTCTGGGTAGACTAGAAACAAATTCATGGACACTCATATGTGTTTAGGAAAGAGCTTTATATAAAAGAGCAGTTGAATATTGAGAAAACATCCCAGCCCAGTCCAGATCAAGCCCATAAGTCCAATATTAGCCCATATGCCCAATACCAATCTATAAAGTTCTCTTCAGCCTCACAAAACACATGGAATGATGCTGAATGCAGGAAGATCACTGGCCAGTGGGTGAAAAGTCTTGTGGATCCAGTGGCATTGTAAGCATTGGCTGGACTGGCAGGGGTCTCCACGTGGTTTTTCCAGCTCTCAGGGGTCTGCTTGCATCAGGATAGGTCCATGTGGCTTCTCTTCAGGAACGTCTCCCAGGGAGTGAGCAGAAAGAGAGAGTTCTCCCACCTCCAAGGAGGAATAGAGGAGTTCCCAGAATCCTCAGGAGAAGGGCATGCCCACACAGAGGCCTCATTGTCTATGACCTGATTGACAGCCTAGACTCCACCCCTTCACTTGTAAACCTCTCAAATTGACACCAGATTCTATAACTACCACAGTTCCTAAGTCAACCTTGCAGAATTGGTGGTGGAAAAATCACTGTGCCCCAGTGATGTCTGAAATGTATGAGCTGATGTAGATGATTTATTAGATGTACACATTGCCACGTCTAACTTTTTTAATGATCTCAGTATAGACTTCTAAGTCCATCCATCCATCCATCCATCCATCCATCCATCCATCCATCCATCCATCCAACCTTTAAGTATTATATGCTTTGGGGAACATTATCAGACTTAAAATAACAACAACAACCAAAAAATAAACCCTGTAAACACTGCCCTTTCTTCTAAGGCAATTTCAATGTTGTGGAGGACACAGTGGAGGGACATGAATTGGGTCAAAGCACTACTATAGAAACTAAGAAGACAGTGCTATTTCAACTTATGATTTAGGAAGTGTCTCCTGAGTGAGTGGAGCCTGGGGTGTTGATGGGAAAAGCAAGTAGTCACTCACAAGGGGATGTGAAGCCCAAGAGATGGACCTACCTGTGCACATTGTTGTGGTAAGTGAAGTCATAGGTTTTGAATGTAGAGAGGAAAAGTGTATAGAGATCTGTAGAAGATTGAGGAGCAGGGTGCAAGGAAAGAGCAGGCGAAGAAGACAAGTAGAAGTGGACAGAGAGGTGTGAGGAAACTAAGAGCACAGTGTCCTGGAAGGTGAAAGGAGCATGTTTTCCTTAGAAGATCCTGGGTAGGGTGAGGACAAAGGAGCCCCGTGGCAAGTGGTTTCTACCACGTGGCTTTTATTGTTTTTACCAGAGGCACCGAGGTTTCAGGCCCCTCCTCGATCTGCCCTTGTGCTCTGAAGAAAGAATTTAGACGAGAGATAAGCAAAGGCCGAGTGTACGTAGGGTTATGTCCACCACAGACCACACAGATGGGCATCTCAGCTAGTCTGAGAGCCTGTCTTGGGTGGAAATACAAGTTTCCATACTGCTGATAGCCACCTTTTCAGTGTCAGCTCCCCTTTACAAATGTTGCACCCAAAGTTCATTCTCTGTTCTTGTCATCCGGGCCAGCACCCAGGACTGCCATTTGTGGGGGTTGTAAGTATATTCCATCCACGCCCTTTTACTGCCTTCCCCTCCAGTGCTGGGAATTCCTTTTCCTTTGAAAACTGCAAATAAAGTGTCTTCTCTGCCCTTCCCCTCCCTCTGTGCTGGGATTCCTTCCATTAGTCCCTCACCCCTCCTTACCCCAGTTCTGTATACCTAGTATTGTCATGGGGAGAGAGGGAGAGAGAGGGAGAGAGAGAGAGAGAGAGAGAGAGAGAGAGACTGTCTAATAAACTGATGAAACTTTGAAAAACCGCCCTCTCTTGGAAAATGAGACCTCAGATCCCTGTGAGATGACGTTGGAAGGTTGACCCCCAAGACCCTGTGACAATCTTGGCAAACTCTGAAGCCAAGGAAACACTGGCACAGCACATCCTCATTGTTTGAGGGCTGTGCATTTTTTGATTTTTTGTTTTTAAATACTTTTATTGGGGGCTCTTACATCTCTTATCACAGTCCTACATTCCTTCAATGTGTCAAGCACATTGGCACATATACCATTATCATCATTTTCAAAGCATTCTCTTCCCACTTGAGCCCCAGATATCAGCTCCCTATTTCTTCCCCCTCCCTCCCCATCTGCCCTCACTCACGAACCCTTGATAAGTTAAAGGGCTGTGCATTTTTTAATCCTCCTCCTCCTCCTCGCTGAAATGTATTTGTAATCCCAAACTCGCTACTTGAAGCCTTCGTGGACATGTTCAAAGCAGCAAAACCCCCGTCACCTGACACATGTATTTCTAGCTGATCTCAG